CCCCAAAACCCCAAAACCCCGAGATTCCAAATATCTTAATATTCTGTGATAAGAAGATCAATATAATATCATATATTAACTAAATAAAGATATGGAATCTTAGCAGCCCGATCAAGCAGTCTTAGACTTTGTTCATCAAGCATTTAATAACGAATATCTAGAAGGTCTTAAAGGTAGTTTATTTTGTCCATACTAAAAAATATCAATTAGAATTTGTGAGAATACCTTCATTAGCACCATTGTTTGACCCAGAATGGCAGACAAACGGTCATCTTTACAGATAATGTGATCATTTGGTCAATTTTGCAAAGAGCCAAGATCTTAAAGGTGTTAATATCACTGCTTTGAAAGATGAAGGCAAGAGTCCATTCCTTATAGTTAATGTTGAACCAACTGATCCTACTTCAGAGAGTTGCGTTTTATTGTATGGACATATGGATAAACAACCATTCGGTGAAGGCTGGAAGACTGAACCAACTGATCCTGTGATCTAGCCCGATGAGAAGGGAGTATTAAAGTTGTACGGAAGAGGTTCATCTGACGATGGCTACGCCTTTTTCTCAGCCTTACTTGCTATTAAGGCTTGCTAAGCAAATGGAAGAGCTCACCCAAGATGCATAATCACTATTGAAGGTAGTGAAGAAGGAGAAATGTAAATCTTATCTTAAAACTCATTTTTTGTTCTATAGAGATGACTTACTCTACTATATTCAGAATTACAAACACTTAATGGGTAAGCCACAGTTAGTAATATGTTTGGATTCTGAAGCAAATATGAGAGATAGACTATCTATAACAACTACCCTAAGAGGTTATCTCGACTTTACTCTGAGTGTGAGAGTAGCCGATAACAATATTCATTCAGGAGTAGGGAGTGGTATCGTCCCAAATCCATTCTAAATTATGATTACTCTTCTTTAAAGACTTGAAGATTTTAAGACTTAAAGAATGATTGATGAGTTACAAGTCAAGGTTCCAGAGCACAGAATTGATGAGTTACAGGTACTGATGAATCTTTATTAATAAAAATCTTTTAGAAAACTTCTGAACTAATGCCGCCTCTTGATGAGGATCTACCTAAATTGGGATGTGTTCACAACTTAGCTCACAAGTTTGGAGATAAGGAGAAGTATTAACTATTCATTAATAACTTCTGGTCTCCATCTCTATCAGTAATTGGCTTTGAAGGATTACCAACAATTGAGAAAGCAGGCAATGTTCTTTATCAAGAATTAAGATGCAAAGTATCACTAAGATTGCCACCTACCCTGTCTGGGGAAGAAGCAGCTAAAGTAGTCTCAGCTAAGATTCTTGAGGAGAGACCAGAGACATTCGGTGCTAAAATTGACTTCTAAATTACTAGCACTGGAAATGGCCTTGATGCCCCTAAATTGCCAGATGACATTCACAAGAAATTCTTAGAAGCTCATACAGTTGTATTCGGAGGCAATGAGCCTATTTCTGTAGGCTGTGGTGGTAGCATTCCATTTATGGAGATATTCAGTTCAAATTTCCCTGGAACAAACTTCCTACTCACTGGTGTTGGTTTCGCTGATGCAAATGCTCATGCTGCAAATGAAAATCTTGATTTAGAATTCTGCGAGAGATTAGTTCAGGTAATTGCTCTTACTCTCACTAGACTTTGAGTTGAAATTAATGACCATTAAATTTCATTTCATGATTGATCAAAAATGTTTTTATCACGTTGGGGTTTTGGGGTTTTGGGGTTTTGGGG